ATGCTTTTGTCCTTTTCTCACATGGTGTAAATTTGTGATCAATGGGCTACGCTTTAAATGACAACGATCTTATATCTCAGTTATCTACGTGGTATTTCAATAACACCCTACTTGCAGCCTCAGCTAGACTGAGTAATTTAAAGCCTCAGCCAGACTGAGCACGAAGGGCTCAGCTAGACTGAGTTACTTAAAGCCTCAGCCAGACTGAGCACGAAGGTCTCTGCCAGACTGAGTTACTTAAAGCCTCAGCCAGACTAAGCATGAAGGGCTCAACCAGGCTGAGTTAATTATGGCTCAAGCCAAAACAAGCACGAATGAAGAGTTCGACCAAGGCCATTCTTGCAACTTCATGATTGTAGCATAGTTGCCATACTTAGTTAAAATCCAGGTCCATGCTTTTATGTCTCTTAACATTCTTTACATTTTTAACTTTCATTTTTAATTCGGTTACAATCCACACGCCTCATCGCCCAATCCAATCTTTCATTTCTCAACACTCTTACAACATGATTTAAAACTTCACACTTTAAGACCTTTACATTTCAACGTTTTTATTGTTAACATTCTTTGCGTCATGGTTTTCTCACAAGTTAGACTGGCTCCCTACTTCTCAATTTTTACTACGATTTATACACAAGCCTTATTTAAATGTCCATTCTCATTCTTTTCAGATCCACAAGAAATAAAGACAACAGTACAAAAAAGCACAACTCATTATTTTATTTACAAACTTACACATAAATTCACTACAGAAATTACACAACCAAAAAAAAACAAAACAAAACAAAAACAAAAATTTTATTTACAAACAACAACACGCAAAACACAAAAATTTTACATCAATCATTCATCCTCGCTCGAGGCCAGGTCTTCTTCGTCAACCCCTTCATCTAGGGGGGTCTAGGCCATATCGTCTTCATCTATTCTCACATTGCTGAAGTCCAAGTCTGGGAACAACTCTTCTGCTTTACGTTTAAAAGTCTTCCAGCCACTATCCCAGAACTCAGCCATCTCATGCTTGTAGAAGTCCGACCACTGGAAGCTCTAGATCACTTCCTCTTCACTCATACTTCCAGCGGTCGCTCCCGACGGGCCAGCCCCCCTATCCCCCTCTCTCACCAAGCTATTGGCGATGGCGGCATCAATAGCCATCTGGAAGTCGGCGGACCCCTTAAACTGCTTTACCGCCGCAACACATAGATCGGGGTACACCGCCCTCTCAGATGCCAACTTGGTCCTCTCATCTTCCAAGGTCTTCTCCAACCCTGGCTTCTCAGCCACTGACTTGGCCCTCTCGTCGGCCAGGGCCTTCTCCATCTCTGTCCTCTCAACCGCAAGTCTAGCTCGCTCGTTCGCCAGCGCCCTTTCCAACTCAGCGATCTTCTGATCTGCTTCTTCCTTTTCTTTGATCGACTGAGCACGTAGATCTTCATTACAGACCATGGCCTCATCACACCTTTCGTTGGCGACGGTGAAGGCTTTCTGGGCCTCTTCCTGCTTCTTCTGCTCGCCAGCCAACTAGAACTCGAGCGACACCACCTTGCGGCGTTCCGTCTCCATCTCTAACTTGGTCGCGAGCAGCTCAGCATTAGCACGGTCTGCTGAATAGCCCTACACCATCGCCAACACCTCCATCTTCTTGGCGTTCTGGGCATACTCCAGCCCCCTAACACACGCACTCCGTGGAGTCCGCGCGACTTTCCTCCAGCCCCCGGTCTCCCTCCTTAAACTTTCAAGCTGGGCCTTTACCTCCTCCAACTTTGCCTTCAGTGGCCCAACTTCGCTTTTTGCACGCACCGCTTTGTTCAGTAAGGCTCCTGCTAAGGCCGCCGCATCCATCTGGGCCGAGCACAGCCCCCTTAGCAATTCGGCCTCTGTGAAACTTGCCATCGAACGCACGGCCGCATCCTCCATTACTCCCAAGAGCCGATCTGCAGCAGTCCTGGCTTCGCCTCCTTCTCCCTTCAATCACCCGGACACTGCTGGAGCGTGGTAAATGGTGGTCTTCAACCTGGCCCTCCCTCCTTCTCCTTGGGGTACAGGACCCCTCTTGGGCTGTTGCTCTTTCCCCTGCTCAGGGCCAGTCGCGCCACCTTCCACTTATGTTTCGGGGCCTAGGGCACTCTCCATCCCCTTTGCTATTCCCTCCAACTCCACTTCGGGGGTCCCCTCTGCCATCCCCTCCTTCATCATCTTCAAGGTTGGCTCCTCCTTCCTTTCTTTTACTCTCTTCTTCTTCTTCAGCACAGCCTCCACCTCTTTTTTGCTCTTTTCCTTCAGAGGATCCACTAAAGGTGGTCGTGGCTCAAAACTGCTCAGGTCTTTCTCCCCCAGTGGCTTGGGGCACGGTCGGACTCGTTCCCTGACGATCGATTTGGGCGGGCGGCCTAACTTCGCCTCTTTGTACTAATCAGCCTTGGCGAAGGTGGTTCTGTCCTCCGCCTCTTGCCTCTTCCTCCTCACCTCTAGTTCTGCAGGCGTAAGATCTCCACCGGTCGGCTGAGGGCCCAGCCTTGAGGCAAACAAGGCTGAGGGCTGGACGAGGTCGTCCCACTTGGTGCCCTCCTTCTCCCTCCATGCCTTCACCTTTTTCACCCTCTCCTCTGCCACCGCCTCCAACCTTGGCTCAACCGACTTGGTTGGCACCTTCCATACCGTGGGCACTCCTACTCCCTCGTTGGTAGACACATAGAACCACCGCGGCCTCCACCCCTTCACTGACGACGGAAACCCCGCCACCTGACCCTTCCTTGCCGCCGCTTGTAAAGTGACCCAAGTCTCTTGCTGGCACGAAGCCTTGTAGCATGCAAAAAACTCATCCACCATCATTGCAGCCCCCTCGTTCGCCCGCGGCCACGCGCTTGCATAGGCCAATACAATCTTCCACGCATTGGGCATCAGTTGGCCCGGAGCCACCTCCAGCCGATTCTACACGTCCACTACTATCCGGGGAAGCGGCAACCTCAAGCACCCCTTTAGCGCCTCTTCGTAGAGGGCAAACTCCCCCGGTCGGGCGTCGGATGGCCTCTCCTTCGATGTCGGCAATTTCAACTCTATCTCCACGGGAATCTGATACCTCTCGCGTATCTCCTCCAACTCCTCCGTCATACATGTCGATTTATCGGCCTTCGTGTGTTACTGGTCCGGCCCCACTTGACTAATAAGTTTCACGGCCGCAATTATCGTCATAGGATGAGCCGCACTGCGTGACTAACTACCCCCCCTCCCTTTGCTCCGCACGGTACTGTTCCCCTAACTCCACCGTATCGTCGTCACCTAACGAATCAAGCCTTGCAGTTGCACAAAGATAGGTAAAACGGATAAAACCAAACGCCCAAGGCTTGCCTGTATTCCAAGGGTCAAGGTCAAACTTTGCCGGTTTGAAAATTTTCAAAAAAAATTTCAAAACCGCCTTTTCAAACGCCCTATATTGACCTATCCCTTCGTTTCTTGTTTGACGCCTAACCTTTCCCCTTACGAGATTCTGCCATGTGTACGACCACGATCCACTGCCCCCTTCCCCTACCCTGTCTTTTCCACTTCAAATCACCATGTGCCCTGCCACTCCTCGAGCCACGCGCACCGCCATTTCTTCCTCCGCTCGGTCACCCTTCGCGGTCGACCCTCCTCACGGTTGGTCCCTCCACTCAGTCACCCTTCGCAGTCGTCCCTCCTCACGGTCGGTTCCTCCGCTCGGTCACCCCTCGCTGTCGGCCCATCTCTCGGTCGGTCTTCACCCCACCAGTCTCTCACAACCCTCGTTTTCTTCATTATTCCCTTCGTTGGACTAAAGCTGCGCTTGGGAATGGGGGACTACTGACATGGGTAAGCCCATAAAGGATATGGCTCACCACCTAAAGTCCAATCCATGATTCAAATACTAAAGCCCAACACTCGGGAAACCCAGCGTTACACCAAACAACAATGACAACTAAACACTTGGCAAGTAGAGAATCACCCACATCAGTAGACAAAGATCCTGCAAAGTTATTGCACCACACATCAGCCATTAATGAGTTTTCCTGCAGCATTTATTGCGATAATCCTTCCCCGTCGGGACAGAACGGGCTCACCGTGAACAAGGTAAGCTAGAGCATAGACTTTCGGCCAAGGTGACAGGTCAGAAGGGACAACGAAATGACTTGCAGAGAATATAAGCAGGCATCGAAGACAAGGAAATGGTTAAGCTTTTCTATCACTAATCTATCTCTACATTCCATCTCTCTTTCTAACTTGCTCGTCCGAGGGTTCGCTGGGGGACTCCCCATTCCCCGTTGAACTCTTGTGCAAGTCTCTCTGTGGGCTTGGTACCTCGGCTACCGGTTTGGAAAGCGTGGATCAATCTGACTCGTTCCATCTAGAACACGCTGTATCATCACAACCAAACATAAGAAAACTTTTTCTTGTGAAAAATATTTTTTGAAAAAAGTTTTATGTAGAAAATATTTTCTATTGAAAAATGTTTTTTGCCAAAATAAAAGAAGCCATAGTTCACTGCTGGAAAAATGACTTTTAGCGGCGTTTTAAAAACGCCGCTATATGTATGAAAAACGCCGCTAATTCCTTTAGTGACGCTTATCACCAAACGTCGAGGACGCGGCCGTCGCTATAAGTTTATGACGCTTTAAAATTTTCGTAAAATTAGTATAGGCGGCGTTTTTAAAAGCACCGCTAAATGCGATAAATAATGATAAAATGACGCCATCCAATATTTAGCGACGTTTTTAAAACGCCGTGATAAATTTTTTTATTTTAAAAAAATGTCCGTTGGCACTGTAGTGGCGTTTTGAAAAAACGCCGTTATAACTCTTTTTTTTAAAAAAAAAATTTCTGTATCTGTTATATTTAACTAAAAAACATACCTGTAATAAAGCTGAAAAATAACAATAATATGAATAAAATTTTACAGCTACTTCAATATATTGACTAAATAAACATTACATGATTGTGTCTGAACCAAAATCAAACAACAAACACAATCAAAAAATAAATAGAAAAAATAGGTTAAGTCATTTGCTTGCACATGCAGATGCAATGGAATAGTCAAGCATATTACACATCATTACACTGCAGAATAGGGATTCGTATTCAATTAATCATAATAGGTTCATGTACAACAAAGACAATTTTGAGCAGGATACATTCCCAAATCCCAGTCAACACAAAGGAATGCAGAGAGCCCGGTGAACAGTGGCGCTGACATCTTCTCCAACTTCTTCATATAATTTGTAATTTTCTGCATTGAAAGGAAATTTGTTCTCTGACACGTGTTCCATGGTTTCCTTTTATACCACAACATTAATACCCTCTTTTCTCCATATGTAACTCATTTAGAGTGTTATGTGGTTTCTCATTTGTCAACATTACTAAATAAGTAATTCCATAAATTACTCTAGAATGACTTTAATAATTTTCCTTTATCGATAGGTATGCCATTCTCAATGGTGCCAGAAATTGCTGCAAAAAACATTGTCACTAAAGATAAGACAATTTGCAAAACTAAGGGTAAATGTGATTCATGATTGCAACCACACAATAGATCACAATGCATGACTTTGTTAAAACAATAAGGCAACAAGCCAGATAAAATTCTATACATGCCTACATAGAGAAAAGATAACACCAGTTAGACACACATGTTCAATGGGAAAGTTAGAATATTACCAAGTTTAGGTGATGAACATGTGTTAAAACCATTGTATTTATGATCCTTAATTTCATTTGGATATTGCCATTGTGTTTTGTTCAACAGTGGCGCTGACACCTTCTCCAACTTCTTCATATAATTTGTAATTTTCTGCATCATAATCCTTCACCTTTATCATAAAATGAAATTTAGTAAACCAAAGCAAAGAAGAATTGAGCATGATGCCCAGTAGTTTAAATGGGAAAATCAAGAAAAAGAATCCCTAATACCGCTTCTCTATATTCTCCAATAGCATGGAAGGAAGAAGCTCTTAAATATAAACACTCAATGTTTGAGCTTTCAAGCTTAACCCAACGGATAAATCCTTGATGGCATTCCTACAACTACTGGGCATATCCAACTTAAGGATTAGAGTTAGCTGAGCTAAGCTGTTCCAATGGTTTAGTATAGATTTCAGACAAAAAAAAATAGCATTTGAATTATTCATCAATTTCAGACTAAGATTTCTACCTGACATATACAATTAGTATGGCTTTTTAAACATTAATTCAATGTTGTCTTTTAGATCTAGATTTCCGAAATGGATTTGTGAGTTTTAGTTGTGACCAACTAAAAATTAATGTAAAATTTTATCATACACCAACCTTCTACACTGAAGTTGAGCTGACTTCCAAGGCGGAGGACTGGATTCTGAGGGTATAAATGAGAACCAACTGCATTCTGAAGAAATTCACAATTTAACAGTGATTTTAAATTGCAAAGAGGACTACATAAAAAATACCAGAAAAGGCTTGCACTGAAAGCAGAATAAAAAAAATAATAAATTGAGGACTTATTTAAACATAATCTAGAATTATTATGAACTCATTGGAACAGAGAGAAAATCATAAATAAGCTCACATGCAGTCCAAACTAAAATTATCCATGTAAAAGTAAAACAATCTCAGACACAGAGAACTGAGTGATTCAAAAATAAATTTCTTATAAGGTTTTAATTTATAATTGCAACAAATAACTATCAACCATTAGATCTGGCTTCAGCATTCACTTAAAGAATTCCAAACCTCTATCGTTTGCTGCTTGTGTCATCTAGCACAAACAGAAGCCTCTCCTTACACATTCAACTGTATTGTCCTTAACAATATCCTAGTTCTAGACATCTAGTGTCTGGTGCTAATCTTGCACCACTATGCAGGTGTCTGCAAACAATCAAAAAAGTCAAACGCATGTATGGGTGCATACATGTGTGCACATGTGTATGGTGAGCGAAGAAAAATGCTACAATGTATCCACAACATAATACCTTCCATCAATTTGCAGGACCCGTTGGAGGCATTCAAGAGCCTTCTCTGAATTTGCCAAATCTTGGTAGAACTACCAAAAATCAAACATTTAACACAACGATAATTGTCAAGTTACTTCACAGATCAAAGTAAATGTGTTAACTTAATGTGCCTGTTTCTCATGAAACCTCTGTCAGATTTGTCCTGGGATGCAAATTAATTTGCCTGCCTTCTAGATTTCTTGCAACCACTGCTCTCATTTTATCATCAAAACCTCTACATTAAATGATTGCAAAGGAAGCAGTATCAAGAACACAAATGCATTAATCAACAAAAATAAAAACTGGTATTGAAATCAACAAAAATAAAAACTGGTATTGACCAAGAAAGTCCTGGCTATAGCAGTTTTCAAAAGTAGTAAAATGGATTATCATGATATAATTAGGAAGCAAAGTTATCTATATCATAGCAAACTGATCTGTAACTTACATTCTATTATACTTGCAAGCTAAACAACAGATGGGCTACCTTTTGCTTAACAATTAATAGACATAGACGTGAGTATTCTACTCAATAACATATATCCTACAGGTCATACTCTTGAGGCAGTCCACCATCAGTGGCATAATTACTAGAGCAAAATTCACCCCATTCTTTATGGCAGAGAGGTAGTCATGAAAGTGGGAGATTTGCTGAGATAGAGTGGAGATTTGGGAAGAACTAATAAGAAGCTTTTTTGCTAAAGACAAATAAACCTGTTTGAGATGGCTTCTCCATAAAAAACAATTTTTTAAGCAAAATTGTGAAGACAATTTTACCCTCAATACTTTCTGAAATTTCACCGTGTCCCTACAAGGGCTCAACAATAATATAAAGGTAATATGGTAATTTCTCACCAAAAAACAACTTCTTTAGCAATTCCTAAACGCATTAGCTTTTTTAAATTTTAAAAAGCAAAAAAGCTTCATCTTACCCAAGGGGATGGTTTCCAAGATTTTCTTCTCAATGTCTCCCCCAAGTTTAGCAGTCATATCAGATGCAATGAACCCTGCGGCAACAACATTAACCTGTTGAACCAAAAAAAAAAAATTCAATACCTACTGTTCCCATTAATTAAGAGGTAAAATGGTGGTTGAAAATAGTACCTATCTTATCAATATCTTACAATTCGTGATTTGATTCACGAATCAATTCATGATTCATGCATAGATCGATGTGAATCTATTTTGGGACAGAATCGATGGTGAATCGCATCATTCACAATTCGATTCATGTTAAACGATTCAAAATGAGTTTCAAGGGGATGGTTTCCAAGATTTTCTTCTCAATGTCTCCCCCAAGTTTAGCAGTCATATCAGATGCAATGAACCCTAGGGCAACAGCAATAACCTGTTGAACCAAAAAACAAAAAAAAAAACTTCAATAAAATTGGTTTCTATTTACTACTCGCCTACTCACTAGAATTTAGTGGACTACTTTGCGAGGACTAGAATTTAGAATAATGAGAATCATAAAAGCAAAAAAATGCATGTGAAAGGTCAAAAAAAATCTAATAAAATATCCATACCTTTTAAACATCCCACCTTTGGCTGCCTTTGGATACTTGAAAGGGCGGCTTTGAAGTTCTCTAGTGATAGGAACCCAGAATCCAAATCCATACGACTAACAGCAGAGAACCTAGTGTCATGGACCACCAATACTCATAAATAAGGTTTAGGATGAAATTAATTAATAAACACAAAGAGCACCCCCAGTGGGTAAGACACTAACCCAAGGGAAAGCAGTAAACAGGAGAACACCAAAACAGCAGCCACAAAACCAGCACTCCACATCTTCTCATGAAAATCCCAACTGCAATTCCCAACTCTGAATCCCCAACCACCAAACTTGACCTTTCTTCAACCCCCACCAAAGAATTATACATGACCAAAGTTTCCAAACAAATAGGCAGAAAAGAAGGGAATGATTCAGACTCCACAGTAGACTCCGCAGCAGTAGACTCCACAGCAGGCTAGAAGGGAAATCACCAAACTCCAAACAAGCAGCTTACTCCAAACAAGAGAAATCACCAAACACCAAACCAGACATACCAGAACAAAACTAGCAGTAGAAACAAACCCAGAACAAAACCAGAAAATCAGCAGCAGAGTAGAGTTACATAATATCAGCAGCAGAACAAAACCAGCGTGCAAATTATTAAGCCTAAGCTTGTGGTGCATGGGAAACTAGTTAGTTCTTGACTGGACTTCAGCCACTCAAACTGTAAGGGCATAAAAAGGCCCATTACAAACTGAGGTAAGGTTTAGATGAAGGATACTGGATATATGTGAAGACAAATGTGTCATATTATGATATTAGCAAACAATATTAGTCATGGAGCTCCAAATTGAGTTTATTACATCTACAGCCTCCTCAATTATGCAGCAAGCCCACAATCCACATACAATACAACTACTTCCTTGAGATCAGCTTTTAAAGGTTTTTTGGGGCATCTTGTAACACAGCAGGAAAACTCTTCGAGTAATTCCAATTGATTAACCACTCATGACAATGTACATTGAACCACTTTGCAACTTGGAATGTGCATATAGAAAAGAAAAATGTGGAAAGAGAATTTTACATGTCACAGGGATAAATTTCTGGCATGTCTTCACTACAAAGTTGTCGGATAGATCAGAGTCCTCTTCTTCACCAGCAAATAGCTATGATAAGATGAAGAAAAGTTAAGTCTCATGAACTAAGTTGCAAAATCCATACCTCATCAAGCATTAAAAAAAATAATAATAATAATTTGTCAGTCAAGGATGTGGACAATAAAGCCATCATTTAATGACAACATCAGACATGAAATATCAAAACTTGTTCAAGTCTTCCTGTTTACCTTCACTAAATTAGTATTTATAGCAAAGAGTCTATGCATTTCATTAGGCAAAAAAAAAAAATGGGAAGCAAGCACGAATATCATCTTGTAGAGTGGGAGAACGTGCCTTTCCTAGTCCACACAGAAGGGTCAGGAGTTTGGAATCCTGAATTATTCAAACTTGAGGGGTTACAGTGGCTTAAGGGGGTCATTGGACAACTTTGGAAATTGTGAGGACATAGTTTCCTTTTGATGTACTATGTCCTGTGTTTAACTGCTAAGGGATTTAATGATCAAAGGCAAATAGGGAGAGGAATTTTTGTTGTATTTTTTTTATTTTTATTTTTATTTTTTGGCTGAAGCAAATGATCTGTTCTTTTGAAACCATGAAAATGACTCTATCTAGCTCAAGTGTTTTATTGGATTTTATGTTCTTTTTATTGTTGTTGGTATGTAGCTCAAGTGTTTTTGAATCACTGTTTTCTCTTTTCAATACAAGTTCTTCCACATCCAAAGTCTTTATAAGGCCCTGGGGTCCTAAACCCTTTAGGTTTATTAACTCTTGGGCTATGCACACCAGCTTTTATTATACAGTGAAGCAAAACTGGGAGCACTTAAATTTGGAGGGCTGGGCAGGTTACATCCTTAAGAAGAAGCTACAAACTCTTAAACTGTGTCTGAAAAAATGGAATAAGGAGGTATTTGGTAACATCAAGGAAAATCTCCAGGAGAAGGAAGCTGAACTTCATTCATGGGACTTGCTAGCTGAGGTTAGAACTCTCCAAGTTGATGAATCTGCTAGAAGGATGGAATTACTAGGGGAAGTTTGGAAATTGAGAAAGATGGATGAGAGATTATGGTTACAGAAATCTAGGCTCAACTGGTCATTGAAAGGTGATAAGAACACCAGGTTCTTCCACATTACTGCCACAAACAGACATAACAGAAATTCACTGGATTCAATAGAAGTCAATGGGATCTCAGTGGTGCAACCTGTTGAAATCAAAACTGCTGTGATGAATCATTTCAAATTACTCTACTCAGAGCATTGGAAGTGTAGGCCTAAACTGGGCGGCCAATTTAATTCCATTAACATGCACAGTAATGCATCAACCATGCTAGAAAGTGTCTTCTCTGAAGAGGAAGTTTGGGCTGCTATTAAGGACTGTGATGGAAACAAAGCCCCAGGTCTGGATGGCTTTAATCTGTCCTGTTTTCAAAAATGCTGGAATTTTATGAAACATGACATTCTAAACTTTATGAAAGAATTTCATGAGAATAGTACTTTGGCCAGGGGTCTTAATTGCTCATTTGTGAGTCTTATCCCCAAAAAGGATAATCCTGTATCTCTGTCTGACTTCAGGCCCATCAGCTTGATTAATTCCATATACAAAATCCTTTCCAAGGTGAAATCACAACTTTAAAGAGGATACTTAGATGTTTCGAGATTATGTCAGGCCTGAAAATTAACTTCCACAAAAGTGTTGTTTGTGGTATTGGAATCTCGGAGACTTTAGTCAATGACTTCTCATCAAAACTGAACTGTCTCACTCAGAAGCTTCCTTTGAAGTATCTTGGTCTTCCACTTGGTGCCAGTCCTAGAAGGAAAGCTACCTGGAAACCTGTTCTGGATAAATTTAAAAGTAAGCTTTCTGGTTGGAAAAAACGACTTTTATCGTTTGCTGGTAGACTCACCCTTATTAAGTCAGTTTTATCAAACCTCCCAATCTTCTACCTTTCTCTGTTTAAAATGCCAAAGGGTGTAATCAAAGAGGTGGATAAAATTCAAGCTTCCTTTCTGTGGGGCGACACCGAGGTCAAAAGAAAGGTCCACTTGGTCAATTGGAAGGTTGTCTCTTTGTCAAAAAATCAAGGAGGATTAGGTGTTCGAAGTTTGGGTCAAGTTAATGAGTGTTTACTTGCTAAATGGTGGTGGAGGTTTTGTAATGAAAAACAAGCCCTATGGAGAAGATTGATCTGCTGCAAGTACAGCAGCAGATCCGGTAGTTGGTTTCACTCTCAAGGTACTATTACTAATTGCTCTTGGATCTGGAAGGACATTATGGGTTTAGCTGCTGACAACCCTACCTTGCTCAACTTTTTCTTGGCTAACTCAGAATTGGTTG